CAGTCAAGAAATTATAAAAGTAATGAAGTAGTAAACTCTTATTGAAGAAAAAATACCATGTATGAGAACAATATCTATATGACAGAGGTACCAGACCAAGCCTCTCCATTAAACTTCACAAGAAATGACAATGTAAAATGTCTTCATTTGAGGGGAACCCAGGGCTGAGTTCCCCTCAACCCTGGGGAACCCCTCATATTCTGTATGCATTTGTAAACCTTCCAAAAATGATTCACCTTGACATTTCTCTGTGTCTAGTCCACACTATACCTTCTTTTTTTAATTTTTAATTTTATTTTTAAAGGTTATATTTATTTATTTTTAGAGATAAGGGAAGGGAGGGAGAAAGAGACCAAGAGAAACATCAATGAGTGGTTGTCTCTCACACGCCCCCAACTGGGGACCCAGCCTGCAACCCAGGCATGTGCCCTGACTGGGAATTGAACCAGCAATCCTTTGGTTCACAGGCTGGCGCTCAATCCACTGAGCCACACCAGCCAGGGCAAGATTATTTATTTATTTTTACAGAGAAGGGAAGGAATGGAGAAAGTGAGGAAGGGAAGCATTGATGTAAGAGAGAAACATTGATCAGTTGGTTGCCTCTCGCACATGCTCTGACTGGGGACTGGGCCCACAACCCAAGCACGTGCTCTGGCTTGGAATTAAACCAGAGACTTTTTGCTTTATGGGACCATGCCCAACCAACTGACCCACACTGGTCAGGCCCACAATATACATTCATTGACATTATTTGACTTGTATACTGACCTCAGCCTCGTGAGGTAGGCGGGCAAGTATGACTATCTACATTTTACCGAAATGACAGTGTCAGAGAAAGGTTAGGTAACTTGCCTAAAATCACATGACTAGTTAATGGTGGAGCTGGGATTTGAATCCATGTCTTGTAATACCTCAATGGTATTATTCGTTTAATATTTATTCTGTTCATTCATCCATCAAACACGTGCTGATCACCTTCTGAGTGTCAAGGTATGTATGGAGCAATCAAGAGCTACTGAAGGGTTTTGAAGGGGAAGAGGAACAGCCACAAGTGGAAAACTTATTTGAAAAAATAATAAAGGGGAACTTTCCCAATCTGGCAAAGGAAAGAGACTTCCAGGAAATCCAGGAAGCTCAGAGAGTCCCAAAGAAGTTGGACCCAAGAAGGAACACACCAAAGCACATCATCATTACATTAGCCAAGATTAAAATGGAGGAGAGAATCCTAGAAGCAGCAAGAGCTAAGGGGACAGTCACCTACAAAGGAGTTCCCATCGGACTGTCAGCTGATTTCTCAAAAGAGACCTTACAGGCAAGAAGGGGCTGGAAAGAGCTATTCCAAGTCATGAAATCCAAAGACCTACAACCAAGATTGCTCTATCCAGCAAAACTTTCATTTAGAATGGAAGGGCAGATAAAGTGCTTCTCAAATAAGATCAAATTCAAGGAGTTCATCATCACCAAGCCCTTATTATATGAAATGTTAAAGGGACTTACCTAAGAAAAAGAAGATAAAAAAGACGAACAGTGAAAGGACAGCAAACTCAGTTATTAACAACCACACCTAAAACAAAAGCAAACTAAGGTGATAGCTAGATCGGGAACAGAACCATAGAAATGGAGATCACATGGAGGGTTAGCAACAGGGAAGTGGGAAGAGGAGAAGGGGGGAGAAGGTACAGAGAATAAGTAGCATAGACGGTAGGTAGAGAATAGACAGGGGGAGGGCAAGAATAGTATGGGAAATAGATAATGTAAAGAACTTGTGACACATGGACATAAACGAAAGGGGGGGATGTGCAGGATGGAGGGGAATGAAGGGGGGAATAGGACAACTGTAATGGCATAATCAATAAAATAAATATATTTTTAAAGTTAACAAAACTCAAAAGCCCTTGACCAGATGGCTTCACAGGACAATTCTACAAAACATTTAAGGAAGAACTAACCCCTATCCTTCACAGACTATTGAAAAAAATTCGAAATGATGGAAGACTCCCAAACTCTTTTTATGAAGCTAACATCATCCTAATCCCCCAAACCAGATACAGATGCAACAAAGAAAGAAAACTTCAAGACAATATTGCTGATGAACATAGACACTAAAATCCTCAACAAAATACTAGCAATCCTCATCCAACAATACATTAAAAAGATCATACACCACGACCAAGTGGGATTCATCCCAGGGATGCAAGGATGGTTCAGTATTCGCAAATCAGTAAGTGTAATACATCACATAAAAGCAAAGACAAAAATCACATGATCATATCAATAGATTCAGAAAAAGCAGGGGGGTGGGGTGGGATGGGAGAAATAGATAAAGAGAAATGTACTTGAAAAGTAACTAAATAAAATTTAATATTTAAAAAAAAAGAAAGAAAAAGCATTTGGTAAGGTACAGCATCCATTTATGATCAAAACACTCAGTGAAGTGGGAATAGAGTGAGCATTCCTCAACATAATAATGGCCATATATGAGAGTCCTACAGCCAACATCATGTTCAGTGGGTAAACTAAAAGCTTTTCCACTAAGATCAGGAACAAGACAAGGTTGTCCACTTTCCCCACTTCTATTCAATATAGTATTGAAAATTTTAGCCACAGCGATCAGACAAGGAAAGGAAAGGAAATTTAAAAAAAGAAGAGCTACTGAAGGGTTTTAAGCAGGAAAGTAGCATTATCCACTTTTAAAGAAATTATATTTATTTTTTTTTTAGAAAGGAGTTTATTTATTTTTAGAGAGAAAGGTAGGGAGAGAAACATCAATGTGTGGTTGCCTCTCGCACACCCAGTACTGGAAACCTGGTGGGCAACCCAGGCATGTGCCCTGACTGAGAACTGAGATCCAACCTTTTGGTTCACAGGCCAGCACTCAGTCCACTGAGCCACACCAACCAGGTCAGAAAGTGGCGGTTTTAAAAGTATGGTCTGGCCCCTGACCGGTGTGGCTCAGTTGGTTGGAATGTTATCCCATAGCCAAAAGCTTGTAGGTTTGATTTCCAGTCAGGGCACATACCGAGGTTGTGGTTAGATCCCAGGTCCCAGCACATACAGTCTAGGAGTGGAAGGGAGGCAACCAATCAATGCTTCTCTTTCACACTGATGTTTCTCTTTCTTCATTCTCTCTCTAAAAGAAGCAATGAGCCCTGGCTGGTGTGGCTCAGTGGATTGAGTGCCAGCCTGAAAACCAAAAGGTCGCTGGTTCAATTCCCAGTCCAGGCACATGCCTAGGTCCCTGTAGGGGGCGTGTGTGAGGCAACCACACACTGACATTTCTCTCCTTCTCTTTCTCTCTCCCACTCTCTCTAAAAATAAATAAATAAAATCTTTAAAAAAAAGAAACAATGAAAAAATGTCCTCAGGTGAGGATAAAATATTAAAAATAAATAAAAGTATGGTCTGGGACCAACTACTGGGTCAGAATCTCTGGGGTTGAGGCTCAGGAATGTCATGATTAGTCAGGTGTGGGAATTCTTGTCTGGTTCTAATGCAATAGAGGGAAGCACTGTATTGGAGAAGGAGGTGATGCAACCAGTGAACACAACTAAGGTAGTGGCTCTGTAACCAGGTGAGAGGTGATGAGATACAAAGGAATAAACTTGAGAGTCATGTAGATAGCATGGGCAGGGCTTCCCACTTGATCCTTCCCTGGACAGTGGCTGAGGTCAAGGAAGTGGAGCTGGGATTCCTACCTGGGTCCTCTGGCTCCAGAGCCTCTAGGCTTCACTGCATGTAGCTGTTTATAGCCACATCTTGATTATAAATATTGTATATTTAGTTATCTTAGCACTTGTTTTGCAAATCCTCATCTTATTGAAAACTGCCATTGAGCCCTGGCTGGTGTGGCTCATTGGACTGAGCACTGGCCTGAGAGCCAAAGGTTGCCTGTTGGATTCCCAGTCTAGGGCACGTGCTTGGGTTTTGCCGGCCGGATTCCCAGGAGGGGGTGCACAAGAGGCAACCCCGTTGTGATGTTTCTCTTCCTACTTGCCCCCCTCTAAAAATAAATAAATAAACTACTTAAAAGAAAAAGAAAACTGCCATGAAGCCTTGTAGTTCTTCCTTACTTGCATAAAACCTAGGAGAGAAATAAGCAACAGACAAGTAAGGCCTTGAAAGTTTAAAAATATTATTTCTTTGGGGCTGAGTAGACAGACAAGGAAAAAGTAGGTTTGACTAGACAAGCGCAGACTGAGGGAAAGGACGGAACACTGCTCCCCTTGGAGCACCATAGGACGCCATCAAGAAACCTTAAGACAATAATCCCAGAAACCCGGAAGGTGACCCCATTTTCTCCCCAGGGTTATTACTGGGTGTCAGGCTGGAGCAGTTCAGGAATTCAGGAAATTGTAAAGAAACCACAGCAGCCTCAACAACCACCTTCCCAAACATCAACACCAATAACCTCAACAATAAAATTCATTAACATCCATTTCCCTCCCACCCACAACCACAGACTTGAAGGAGGCAGAGGGGACCATGGGGAGCTGCTTCTTCCCTGGCCATGGCCACGGTTTTCCAGGGTTTCAAGAAAGTGGCAGGGGGTTAGGTGGGTGGGGAGGGGGCTGGGAGGACTTACATTCCTATTTCTGGGTCAGGGCACCAAGGACTGAGGACATCTCCACTCTCTCCTCACTGCCAAGTAGGTCGGGATTAAAACAAACTGAAGCAAAGGTTGAGGTTGGCCATTCCAGGGAGGGACTGGCCTGTCCCGGTACCTGGAAAGGCCGTACGGGTTAAGCCAAGCAAGCGAGAATGGAGCTGTTGGAGGAGAAACAGATGGGAAAGGGCGTGGTGAGGGTCTCGGTTCCGCGCGTGTGTGTGTTGTGTGTGCCCTTGCGTGTGTGTGTGTGTGTGTGTGTGTGTGTGCGTGTGTGTGTGTCCAATCAGAGAGCGAACCTCGGCGGGACAGAGGCGTGTCTTGGTCGAGATTGGATAACCGCCAGGCACAGGGAGGCGTCTGCGCACAGCCTGGGCCCGGCTTTGTAATTCCGCGCTATATATCGCGGCGGCGGCTGCTGGGGAATGGGGTCAGACTGCGGTGCATGTCCCTGAATCGTACGCTCCTCTCCTTGGTGCGGAGTTCCTTGGGTCCTGGGTCCATTGTGTCCCGTCCCAAGGTTCGCTGCATCCTGGGTCCCCCACCCTTTCCACCGGCTCGCCAAGCTCCCTGACCTTAACGTCTGCAGAACGAAATAGGCACAATCATGAATGTTTCAGAGGAAACAGAGGAGCTGCTCCAGCCCTACGACTTCGAGGTGTCACAGGACATGAGACCCTTTTTGGAGGAGTACTGGTGAGAACGCGGGAAGGGCCGTGCCAGGGGCCGGATCCTGATCACTGCAGTTTGGGGGGTGAGGGAGACACTGCCCGCGATGATTTCCTTCAAAAGCAAAAGTATGGGGCTCTCCTGCACTGGTTCCAATCCCCGTTCTCAGAGGTGCAGGTAGTGTGGCACCTCAAAGGGATTAGACCTCGAAGAAAGAAGGGGGGGTGCGGAAAGAAAGAGAGCGAGAGGCAGAAATAAGAGGGTGAGGTGAGGAATATGAGAGGAGACAACAACCAAGGGAAACGAGTTCAGTGAGGGGTGGAGTTGATTGAAACTCCCAGCCCCACCAACCTCTAGATGATTCTTCTTTGTGTGTCGTGGCTTTGGGTGGCCGGGCGCTCCCTCGCACATTGTGCTGGTGTCAGGGACAGCCTGCCCTTCACAATTATCGTGTTGTTCGCCAAGTGTTCCATCGTCCCTGCCGCAGAAGTCAAGGAGGCAAAGTCATGGAGCTCTTCAAGAATTCCCCAGGCTCTCTGGCTTTGCCCCAAGACTACTCAGAGGTGTTTGTGGGCTGTGGGCTGCGGACAGTTGGCCGCGACCCAACCGGGTAGAGGCTATTGCCACATTTTTAGACGGCAGCCCTGGTTTGGTTCTAGGCACCAACCAGCAGTTATCACCCACTTCTAGCCCCACTGAGAGGGCAATCATCACAATCCTTGGACACAGCCCCTGCAATGTTGTAGGTACTTTCTGTATTAACTGTCAGGGGAGGAGTATTATTCCTTTTTACAAATAAGGAAGCTGAGGCTCAGAGAACTAAGCAGTTTTTCCAATGTCACACAGCCAGTAAGTGGCAGGGCTGGGGCTCCAACCCAGAGCACTCACTTAGATAAGTGGGCATTTCACTAACCAGCACCCACCCAAGAGCCCATCCCCTCTGCCTGCCAGGGCAGTCTCATTCCCCATAGCTTTGATCTACCTACTGCTCATCTTTGTGGGGCAGAACTACATGAAGGCACGGAAGGGCTTCAACCTACAAAGGCCTCTCATCCTTTGGTCCTTTTGCCTTGCGATCTTCAGGTAAGACACTCCTCACTTATCCCGTATGCCCTAGACCATAGCTCTATCTCTAAAAGTTTTCTAGAAATCTCAGTTGCACCGACTCCCCAAGTTGACCCCCAGCTCTCCCTACCCCATTCTCTCAGCTCTAGCTCCCCTCCCCAGGTGCCTCTCTCCTTCCGCAGCCTCCAGCCTGACAGTTTCTGTTCTCTCGGGAGTCCTCTTGTGCTCATGGAGTCTGTGTACTTCTGACAGATTTCTTCAGAATCTGAAACCCTTTCCCAAGACCTTTCAATAACTTCCCTGGCCCCTCCTTCCCATATTTTCTCCATCAATTTCCCCCGTCCTGCCACCCATCTCTTCATAGGCTTCTACCCATCCTGAGAACTCTGTCCTCTAACTCAACTTTCAGTCCCATCCTCCAGTATTCCCTGGTCCTTTCCCAGTTCTTGTCTCCTCTAGATTACTGATTGGACTTACTAGACTGGTGCCAGGATCTCAGAAGTCATGACTCCCAGAAGGGTGGGAAAGTGGCAGGGCTTGGGACAATGACCTGACCAGGCTGAAGGGGCAGGGTGGACTGGTGTCTGGGAATGAACTTACCCTCTTTTCCTCTGTTCCATTTCAGTATCCTGGGGACAATGAGGATGTGGGCCTATATGGGGGCCTTGGTACTTAGGGAGAGCCTAAAGCAAACTGTATGCTTCACCTCCTTCCTCGAAGATTCCATAGTCAAATTCTGGTCCTGCCTCTTTGTTCTCAGCAAGATCATTGAACTTGGTGAGTGGCAAGACTTTGTCTCTCTGGCACCCAGTCAACTGCATCCTTCCTCAGGGACCCCCTCACCCATCACATGGAGAATCCTTTCCCCACCCATGGGTCCTAACACCATGGGTCTCACCCAAGCCCCTCTTCAGGTTCTCTGCCAAAAAGACACCTCTCCCAACCCTGAGAATTCCCCCTGTGCTCCCATATTCAGTGTGGAGGGTGGTCCTGACACTGGGTACTATGCCAGCTATGACTTCCCATCTCCCAGGAGACACAGCCTTCATCATCCTTCGTAAGCGGCCGCTCATCTTTGTGCACTGGTTCCACCACAGCACAGTGCTAGTGTTCTCGAGCTTTGTATTCAAGAACAAGGTGGCTGCAGGAGGCTGGTTCATGACCATGAACTTTGGTGTGCATTCCATCATGTATACCTACTACACTCTGAAGGCTGCCAAAGTGAACTCCCCTGGGTGGTTTCCCAAGCTCATCACCAGCCTGCAAATCCTGCAGATGATTATGGGGACTGTTGTCGTCATCCTGGCTTACACCTGGACACACGAAGATGGATGCCACACTACAATGGAACACTTCTTCTGGTCCATCGTCTTGTACGTGGCCTATTTCTTCCTCTTTGCTCACTTCTTCTACCATACCTACATAATGCCCAAAGTTAAAGCCAAGACCAAGAGCGAGTAAAAGTTTGGAGAAAAAAGAAGCTGCAGGGTCTCTCTTCCCCAGGGCACTGAGGGGCATGGTTTAGATCTGGGAGAATGATTAGGTTGTATCCCCCAAGGTGGCAGGTAGTTATAACAGACAGGAAACACAAACACTAGGAAGGGGGTGTGATCTAGTACTTTGATGTATCTGTTTTTAATGTGAGGGCCAAGCAGGCCTGGGGATTGGGCTGTGACTGAGGATCTCCAGAGCTGAGTTATTTATATTTATATACAGAAACCTTCCTCTTCTTGCTTTATTTTTAAATTAAATATTTCATCAAGATTTCAGGGCTTTGAGAAGTTGGAGGAAGAAGGGGTCTGCCTTGACGGGACATGGCTTCTGGCGGTGGGATGATAAGTAGGTGGGAAGTCTAAGGATGTGGGCAAGGGTGGGAGGCACACACGCAGACAATAAGAATCCTAGGCCTCATAGGCACTTAATAAATGTCTGTTACAGACCATAATTTTATTGCTGTTAGAGGCTCAAGCCCCTCATTGGAACAGTGAGAAATAGGTACAGAAAGGCGGAGTAACTTATCTAAGGTCATAGGCTTCCTAAGTTGCGGAAGTGACACCTGTTAGTAAGTGTTCCAGGCAAGATCTTCCAGTTATCGTCTGTGAGACCACAAGGTGGCGCAGCAGCACCAGCTTTGGCCCAGGTCCGCCTACTAGCTGGTCCCCAGGCCTTCCACACAGACATGCAAACACGAGAGCGCCCCTCTGCTCTAGGTATCCTCGGACTTCCCCATCCTGGTGTTAGCGGTTGAGGGGCACTGGAGCCCTAGAAGTTGGGCCTTTCCTGTAGAAGAAGGTGTCTTTCCTGTACACCAAGGTCTCGTTCACATGTGCGGGAGGATGAGGGGAGAGGGCTCAACCGCAACTCTGAAACATTAGGCCTTTGACAGTCCGCGCACATTTATTTCATTTATCTTTGCAAATGATAAATGGGAAAGGAGGAGTCTGGAGAAGTCGGGGTGGGCCGAGGGTGAATTGGCCCCTGGGGAACTGGTCCCTGTTTCTGGCCTTAGTTCCAGGGGTGCTAAGTCCCTGGACCATGCGGAGGGCCCAGTCCACCCCTCTGAGCTGGGAGAGGAGTCTCTCTCCCGAGCCAGCGCCTCCCGACCCCCAGCTGCCCCAGCGTCCCTCTCAGACCCGGGCCGAGATCAAGCCAGTCAAGACGACCCCCGTTCAGGGAGGCTGTGAATGATCGACCTCGCCCTTGGGGATGACCGACAGGCTGGGCCACTCATACGGGCCTTTCCACAGCGTACTGACACGGACTGAGGTTGGCTGCCGGGGGCGGCCCAGGTACCGTGGGGTAGCTAAAAGAGGCGTGCTGTTTGGCCTTGAGCCTCAGGCTGGCCAGGCTCGAGTTACACGGGTCCCGATATACGTAGGGAGAGGAAGCGGCTGCTGCAGCAGCTGCGGCGGCTGAGGCGTAAGGGCAGGACACTGCCCCAGAGGACACTGCGGCCGGAGCCAGCCCGGGGGCCCCCCCGCCCAGGCCCTGCAGTGCCCCAGGCCCTGGCACGGTGCCTGGGGCGGCCCCGGCCGAGGGCACCATGGAGGCAGCGATGGAGCTGGGTGGCGAAAAAACGGGCTGCGAAGCCAAAGGCCCCACGTTGACTGAGTTGAAGGCAAAGGGGAAGGTCTTGGCGGCGAGCGGTGGGCCGAGCGCCTTGGGTGGCCAGTTGCCGTAAGAGTAGCCCGGGTATACCTCTTCGTAGGGCGGCACCAACCCCCCAAGAGGCGCCGTGAAGCCCCCCTTGCACAGCTCCGCCTGCTGGCTGCGCTCGCGCTTCCGCCACTTGGCGCGCCGGTTCTTGAACCACACCTGCGGGCGCAGGAGAAAAGGTTGTCACCTGGGGGGAGCCGAGCCGTCCTGGACCAGGTCAGCGCTGCTGGTGGTTGCGCCACCCTGATCCGGGTTCAAGCCGGGCGGTAAAGAGGATACAAGATAAGGTGGCTGGAGATGGGAAAAGCGGGTTGCGAGGAACACAGGGAGCCAGGGAGCTGAGAACAGAGGCAGTGGGTGACCAGAGGGCCTTGTAGTAGGTTGGGGCCAAGGAGGGGAGATGAAGAGAATAAGCGATAGTCTCAGGGGATGAGAAGCGCAGGGCCTGGAATAATAGGGTGGAGTGAGATAGAAAGTTGGTGGAAAGCAAGCCGTGTGGGGCAGCAGTCCGGGGTCTTGGGACGTGTCCGGTCCCAGAGGATAGGACAGGCAGGGCAGAAACACAGGACGCAGATTCTAAGTCAGTCGCTAAGCGGCCCAAGGGAGAATGGCCGGGGCGGAGTGAGTGAGGGCTGCGGATCTGGGAGCGCATACCCGCACCCGTGCCTCGGTGAGGTTGGTCCACACTGCGATCTCTTCCCGCGTACTCATGTCGGGGTAGCGGTTCCTCTGGAAGGTAGCCTCCAGCTCTTGCAGCTGCTGGCTGGTGAAGTGTGTGCGCTGCCGCCGCTGCTTCTTCTTCAGCGAGCCGTCTTCGGGGGAGCCGCCCGGCAGCGAAGCTGAGGCCTTTTCTGAGTCTGGGGCCGGGTGGGGGCAAGTCACAGGGATTCCCAGGCTGGGGTACCTTCCTTTTTCAGCGGCCCCTCACTCCCACCCGGGCTCTACCCCCATTAGGGATTGAATCTTTATCTCCCCTACTCCCAGAAGGGGGCGCGCTCACCGCTGTGTTCTTGGCCCTTGCAACTGTGTTCTGGGAGTTGAGGGTGGGGAGTACCCGCATCTGACAGTGATAGGGCCGGGCTCCGGGCCTCCGCCTCGCTGAGTAGGCCGAACTCCATGGAGAGAAGACTCTGGAGGGAAGAGAAGACACAGACCAGTCCCTGGGGATAAAATCTCCAGGTTATCCAGTCCCCAGAAGTGCTTCCCCACAGGTTCGCTATCCCCTTCCTTAGCCACCACCATAAAGCTACCCCTGAGTGAGGTGCCCGAGGACAGAATGGGGAAACAGCAGCCTAAGGGGGAAAAGGTGTATACGCACAGGTTTTATGCACAGATATACACACTAGACTTTTTTTTTTTGTTCACTGCTGGGCCCCTAGAACTGTGCCTGTGCACAGTTGCTCAAGATATTTATTGAATTAGTGAAAACTCACACCACTGCATGCCATATGCTATACACTACATCCTCAAAAACTTCAGTACTCTCTCACACGAACACCCAATAGCCCCACAACTTACACATGCCCCTTAGCCAGTCATGCCTGAGATGCAGCCAGAACCTCTCCACTGAGGCAGATTTGACTTTGAACCAGGCCTGATATTTCTCCCACTAGGATAATCACTGCTGTCAATTACAAGTACTGACTGTATGCCTTTATCTCATTATCTGTCCCCTCACAAGAATGCCTCAGCCCTGGCTGGTGTAGCTCAGTGGATTGAGCATGGGCCTGTGAACTAAGGGGTCGCTGGTTTGATTCCCCGTTAGGGCACATGCCTGGGTTGCAGGCCAGGCCCCCAGTATGGGGTGTGCAAGAGGCAACCACACACTGATGTTTCTCTCCCTCTCTTTCTCTCCTTTCTCCACTCTCTAAAAGTAAATAAATAAAATCTTTAAAAAAAAAAAAAGAATGCCTCAATATTAAAAGTATGGTCACCTTTTTCAGGTAAGGAAACTGAGACCTGAAGTAACAATTAAGGGTCACAAACTTGTAAGTAGTGGAAGTGGGATGTGAGCCAAGTCTGAGAGACTCTGAATCTACTACTTGTTTCACCCTTTGCTCTTCCAAATTGTGTTCTTTGGGGCCCTACCCAGAAACCCCCTCAGGCACTGGAACTCAGGAGGAGCCGCAGAGATGGGACACTGGTCTGGCTGTGCTTTGGTCCGTCTCAGCCAGAGCAGCCCTGCTTTTGTCTGTTTTTGTTGTTTCATTTTAATGATTTCTGGAGAGATTTCATTTGAAGAAAAAATTCCAGAATCAAAAATAAGTTAAGCCCAGGCAGGTGTGGCACAGTGGATAGAGCACCAGCCTTTGAGGCCAAAAAAAAAAGGGTTGTCAGATTCATTTCCGGTCGGCACTTGCATGGGTTTCAGCCCAGCCCCAAGTTGGCTCAGCGTGAGAGGCAACCAACAATCAATGTTTCTCTCTCACATCAATGTTTCTCTCCCTCTCTTTCTCCCTCCCTTCCGTCTCTCTAAAAATAAATAAATAAATAAAAATAATCTTTTTTTAAGTTGAAAATCACTACACATTCTGGCTTTGTCTGCTTTGTGCCTGCCCAGACACATTTTCTACCAGTCATTGCTCCACTCTCAAGCACAGCCCCTACCAGGCCCGCCCCAGGCAGTCGCTGGAGCTTCTAAATCCACCTTGCTACACTTACTCCCTATTCCAGACCTTGCCTGTCCTTGCCCAGGAGCCTGCCTGGGTTCTTCTTCAAGTCTCCTCTGCAGGCTTCTCTTTCCCACTGGCTCTCCCAGGCCCCTGCTGGTCGGGGGAAGGAAAGGGGGCACTAGTGGGACTCAGGAACTCTGGATGCTTCTAGGTCAGAGGAGAACCAGAGGAGGCTAGGGACAGAGGAACAGTGGTGAAGAGCTGGGCCAGAGGAGTCCATCTGCCTCCCCATTAACAGAGATCTAACACAGGCTATGAAAGGTGGCATTAATGCTATAGATTAGCCTAAACAGAGATGTATGTCACTTGGCTGCTCTGAATTTATTAGGAGCTTTTCTCAGGGAGGCATGGATGGGCAGTGGCCTGTGTGTGCACATGGTAATGCCCCCTTCAACCAGCTCGGAGGTGACAGCTGCCCCCGACCCCCACCTCTCAAATAAGGTTGGGGTGGGACAGAGATCAAGGTAGGAGTTGAGAAATAATCCTTGTTCTTTCCACAGACAGAGGGGACTAGACCTTGGACCCTTTCCTAGGGTTGAAGAGGCAGGGCTGAAAGGAATCTGGAAAGGAAGGAGAGAAGTCAGGAGAGGGGTGGGGTACTCAGCTTACCTCTCCCCTTTCAGGTCTGAGGTCAGCAGTCAGAGGCTCGGGGCTGGCTCAACAATGCTCTGGTGGAAGGGAGATGCCCTTGGGAGGGACCTGTGGCTGCCTTTACTAGTAGCTCTTCCCAAATAGCTGGGAAGGCTTAGAACTGAGAGCTGGAAAAAGGAGTGCTCTGAAGTATCCTCTTACTTCTCACCCAAGAGGGAGAAGAAGGTAAAGGCTGTTGAATGCATGGTGCCAGGGAAGACTCGACTTTTGGTGGTCTTCCACCAAAAGAGCATAGCACACAATAGAGCATAGAGATGTATTATAAAGATGCACACCTGAAATTTACTT